AAAATACTGATGATAAACCTGTACATGAATTTTCAGTCAAAGCACAAAACAAAAACGGCACGTAGTATCATGCGTTATGATTTTCTTTGTGCGTTGATTAAAATTCAAATTTATGTACGGGTTTAATTTATGGTCAGTTTAAGTAATGTTATGCATTAGTGCGGAAGTGTTCTCGTTGTCGCGAGCGCCGAGAACGCAATCACGCCCATCGCTGACAAAGCGGATTGCGGCAAACGATACTTTACCCGACAAATTTTATCGAGCGATAGTGATTACCAACGCTACCGTGCTAATCGCGCATTTATTGTGTAACCGCTCCATGTGAAACAACTGTTAACCGGGTTGCGCGGCCCTTACGCGCGAAAAGTCGCCGCGCGACCCAGAAATATACCGCGAACGCTGACGAACATTTTGATGACACGGCAAGGACCGGCCGCCTGGAACAGGATAAAAACGGAAGACCGGTACTAGGAGAGGACTGGTCGAGATCCGCCATCACGTCTGTCGCGGTCCGAATTAAGAAGGACAACCTGTATCAATTTTAATAAAGTTTATTAAGTAGTAAACAAAAGTGGTGAGCGCCTCTTTCCCGCCGACTCCTTGGTCGATCCCCGAAACGACCCGCACAACATCGTGAAGGGTCTAATTTTTATTAAGATGAGGACGAGGAAGAGGAAAAGAAGCGGACGAGACATTTAAAGCGTTGCGATTGTTAAATAAAGATATTGAAAAACATTCCACATCTCAAAAAAGACACATACAAGAACATATGATCCAAGACTACACAGAACCAGACAGCACCATTATCACAATATTCACAACATTCACAATCGTCATTATCCTTATATGTTCCATCATCATCATCATGTAAAAAATCATATAAACACATGTCCTCTTCATCAGCACCATTAAAACATAAATCTTGTCATACTCGCCTTCAGTAGCCACTCAATCATTTGCACGAAACATTCCTTCAACATCAAAACAACCACTACAACACAAATAAACATTATCACGCTCGCCTTCATTATCCAAACAATCATTTACACAAAACATTCATCCATCATCAAAATCATCACATCATAAACAAACAGTACTATTATAACATAAACTATCTCATCACACTCATCTTCAGCCACTCAATCATTCACACACAACATTTATCCATCATCAAAAAAACTCCATTACAACACAGATAAACATTATCACGTTCGCCTTCATCATTCAAACAATCATTCACACAAAATATTCATCCATCATCAAAATTTTATCTATATAAGCAGGGTTCACAGGAGCAAACAATCCATAATTTCCTTCTATTTTTGTATTCATATTACAAGCAAGATGAAGATGATGCGATATGTAAGCTCTCAAGGTAAATTTTTTTTACAGAGTGTTTAAATTATTCTATTAATTTAACTTATAATTTAAATATTCAATATGCTATGATTTATTATTTTCATGTCAAGATATCAGCATGATACATTATGATGTACATTAAGTGTTACGACCATATCAAGAAGTAGGCTTGATAGAAGTTTGCGTACAATTATCGTTTTGCTTGATCTATGACCACTGCTGTAAATCTCGCGCTTGCAATTAATGTAGATCTCGCCGCCGTGCCATTTGATCATGATGATGAACTAAGAAAGAAATTATGGTTAAAGATAGGTAATTTTGAATCACTTTAAAATTAAGAATCAATTTTAATTCAGTTAAAAAATTAATTTTTAAATGTGCCACAAATTGATTTATTTGAAATTTGTAATTATAATTTATTATAGATTATTTATGTATATTCCTAAAAGACTTGATTGAATAAGCTCGTAATTTATTGTCTGTTATTTATAATAGACTAGTAACTATTATAATAGACTATTACTTTAATTTATAATAGACTAGTAATGGTCTGTTATTTATAATCACTAGTAATTAATCTTTAATGTTAAAACAATCTCCATATTTTTTTCAACTTGTCAAACTTGTTGAATTTGTTGAATTTTCCTATCTATCCAATGTAAATTAAAGCGACGATGCAAAATTCATTTAAAACATCCTGTATGATTCATACCTGCAATAAACTAATGAAGAAAGCCTTTACAAATGCTTTACATATGCTTTACATTTTTCGCTCCTTCTACTTAGGCATATCCTTAATGCCAATTGCTTTGCAATACGCTTTTATCGCACAGTAGCAAACAAGCCCTTTCATGCATTTTCTTCATGAATATCTTTGTTTCTAAATTGAGTGAAAAAGTCGTGCAACACTAAAACAGTCATACTGAGTCATTGAGTCATATTAAGATTATTAAAAGTCATCTCCATTGTTACATGATTAAATTCTCAAAAAGAGAATTAAATCAAGAAAATAAGCGAGATGCCAATTTAGCATATCACATAATTATTTCTTACCAGTATGCTCTTTGTACCTAAGTATATACATTAATCTTAGACCTGCTCTATTATTGGCTATCTTTAAAGGTGCTTTTTGTACAGGTGCTTTAGCTAGCACAAACTCAGTCAGACCATTGCCATTTCCTGTTACAACAAATGCACTAATGCGATTCTTGTGTCCCAAATCAGCTGACTAATTTGCTTTCTAAAACCCAAGTTTCAAAACCATCAGAGGTATCTGTAAGATAGATATATTGCAGTATAAGACTTTGTTATCACTATTATAAATTATAAAGAAATAAATTATTAGAGCATTACATTAAAAAATTATGTAATTTTTATCATCACATTGCTACAATATAATATTACACATATACACATTTACCACGCGCGTGTGTACATTTAGTATATTAAAGAAATATATATATATATATATATATATGTACATATATACATACATGTGTATATATTTGTAACAGTTACTAAATATATTAAAAACCTTCTTCAATAAGAAAAGATGATCCAATCTTTCTGTCACTCATTTGAAGGCTTGTCCAATCACGTTTCAATGATGATAATTTGATCCGTTTTGATTTAATCTGATACTTTTGCTGTAGTTTTGCAAACTTCTCTTTTTTAGAATCTAAAAGTGACCTCTGCTGTTGAACAAGCTCTTTCCTTTGAATACAAGAAATATAAATTTTGGTATTGGAATTTTTTTACACCAATAATTGGATTCCTATTTTTTTATTTCTCTATTAAATCCCTTTTTCTTGCTAATTCTTTCACTCTACCTCTATGTCTTCCTGCATCACTAACAGTCGTCATAGCTTTCTATAATTCATCTGCAGATTCTAAAGAATGCAATAAGATACTAATTTCTATATATTTTCTATGAGTTTATTTAAAATCTTACACTAAAATTTCACTTACTATTTACAAAAAATGTTGAATTCTTCGTATCACATATCAGAGGAATATGTATTTTTAACAAATGTAACTGACAGAACACACATTTTGTGCATCTGAAAAAATATTATAATCTCCGTAATATACATTCACAAATAAGTCGTATTAAAAATTCGATTAAATATTTGTGCAAGTTATACTCTGTAGAGAAATGATGTTTCGTTCGTGTATTCCGCACTATCACACCGTTCCATTGCTTATACATGCGATAATCTTTGTCATCTTTGCAAAATTTCCGAAATATGTAATATTCGAATCGAGGCCATTTTTAATTCCTTTGATAGAATAAATGATAATGATAAAGTTAAAAGACAAAACTATATCTCGAGGCTATTGGATCTTCTTTCTGTCTTTCGTATTACTTATGCAGGAAAAATTAGTCTTACTCCATTTTTTACCAGTCATGTGTATGCATATACAAAATTGCGCACGCATTGCTGATCTATAGTGCTAATAAAATATCGCCAAAATAAAGTTCTTAGATTGGTTAAAATATCCCAAGTAATATGTGATTGGCTATGACGTATATTCACTCCAGGCATCAGTTTTTCAAACGTTTTTTTCAATTGTTATACTTTTATATCTATTGTTGTGGCGATAAAAGTAAAATAATTAGTGTCTCTACAGTTACTGTGGCGATAAAAGTGAAATAATTAATTGTACTTTTGCTGTGGAGCAATTAGTCTTTCTATAGTTGTTGATTATAAAACTGAGGCAATTAATATTTCTTTGCTGCTATGACGAAAAACTGGAGCAATAGGTATTTGCTCAGTTATCTTACCAAGAACTTAAAACAACCGACTCTAAGACGTTAAAAGACGTCTTACGTCCTAATTTTGGACTTCGCATTGTCTGGGTATGTACATATTTTTCATTACAAACGCCAACAAAAATGCATAATATATAAAAAAATCTATCACATTTTTCAGTTATTGGATTCAATTAGATTGTCCTCTCTTTCGTCGTTCCAATAATCTCGATCTCGCCTTGCTGCTCGCACACGCATACGTGAACCACGTATTCTGTTGCGATATCTTTCTTTTGCCGTACAAAGTGCCTCTTTCATATAAGTTTGGAACTCAGAGCGAGTGGGTTTTTCAAAATGTCGATTTCTACATGTGACTTCTAAAAAAGAAAGATAAGAAAAGATTATTAATATAATGATAACCCCAAATAAAACATATAATAAGATCATAATATCAAATAGAAATTATTTTAAGAAAAATTATAATCTCATTCGGTACTTTTGATAATGATTTTATGATAAATTCTTAATATAACTTTAAAGTTATTTGTTAACTATATATGTATGCATAACAACATCACTTTAAAATCATTGCTATACTGCGAATTTATCAAAATAAAATCATCATCAAAAATATATCGAATAAAATCATTATGACTTTTCTTTGAAAATAATTTCTATTTGATGTCATCTTGATCTTACTATAATTGTATTCTATTTGAGACGTTATCAAAGTCCCAAATGTTAATTTAAAAAATTTTACCATAAATAGCAGTAATCAATCGAGTATTATATAGAGGTCGTCGTCTTTCCTCGCGTTTTTGGTTCCCATCAAGTAAAGAAAGATACTAATGAATCTGCGATTCCTTCCTTAAAGCAATGCTTATGACTTCTTTCAGAGTAAAACCGCCAATGTAAGTAAAATATTTAATCTGAAAATATGAGTTTGTATAATATATAAAAATGTAAACAAAACATTAATATAAGTGAATAATATTAATAAACAACTGAAAGGAATATAAAAATGTAATGTACAATATGTCTCATAGTATGTTCTTTTTGAATTACATTTTTCGTCTTTTAAAAATGTAACTTGAGAAAATGTATTATTATACTATAATTATATGAAAAAAGTTTGACATGTCCAAAAATGACATTGTATATTAATGAAATATAAACTATAAAGTCTATAATTTGCTTATTGCTTCAATTTTATATATGTTTATCTGTCATGTGACTTCTAAAAAAAAAGATAAGAAAAGATTACTGAGATACTGAGTCAAGAACAAACTTTCATACAACAAAATCCAAAAAGAAGAAAGAAAATTGATGTATATCTTTTGACTTACAGATCCAGAATTTCTCTTCCTACTTACGATTTCAAAGTAATTATCCTCATCAGTGTCTTCAAAAGCGACCATTTGCGTTAATGATTTATTGGGAGGCAAACTGACTTTTGCGTGAAAGTTTGACGATCTTATAGACATTTTAAAATCTTCTGTAGCACACCATTCATTTTTCTGCGAAAAAAATGCAAAGTAGCATTAGTAGTTAGCATTAGTAGTTAGTATTAGTAATATAAGAAAAGCTATTACAATAAATGTAATCCCAAAATAGCAAGCTGATGTTGTTTGTCGTAATATTGTCATTTTACGTAAAAATGATGTTTAGTGTCATTAAAATAGCGACAAATAATCCCAGTTTGTTATTTGGAATATATTTAATACTTACTTCAGTTCTGTTTCTATACGAGTTAGACGTTCTTGTGTCCTGCAAGTAATATTGAACATTCAAAGCTCTGTATATATAATATAGTAAAATTTATATCATTTGAACATATCCATTGTCTCCTTTTGTATATTGTACTTGTAAATTTTCATCAAGATGTCGACCATAATTTCGTGATTCATAGTATTCAATCCTATCTCTATACAAATTAAACGTTCTTGTATCTTTCTGAAAATAATATTCAGAGTTTTGTGTGTGCGTATGTGTGCACGCGCGCGCGCGTGGTGCGTTAAATAATTATATAGAAAAAGAGCATATAAAGCATAAAGAAGAAAAAAAATTAAGATATAGATTATTGAGAAACTTATCACAATATTTTTAATAAGTTTTAGAATATATATAAAAATCATTAGACAACACACAAATTTTTTATTATTGTACAACTTATTGCGTTGCATAAAAAAATAAAAAATATGGTAATATGGTAAATATGGTAAATATATGGTAATATATGATAAATATGGCAATATATAGTAATATTTAAATACAATAAAGTTTAATACAATTTAATATAATAAAGTTTTATCTTATTTCTTATATACCCATTGTTTCCTTTTTTAGGTTGCATTTCAGCAAGCCGACCAATAATTCCTTCATGCCGATCATTAATTTCGTCATGTGCAACAGTGTTATGATGATAATTGCCGTCAAAAGTCCATGTGTCTGTATTACACCGTAGTTGTGTAAATGTCTTCCCATCATGTATTACCTGTCTGGTAGGTTCTGCTTGGACATATATTACCTGTGTGGCACACGAATCAGCAGGTATGTATGTTTCCACATTCATTTATGATTGGATACATATATTATATATGTGTTTGCAAAAGATGAATCATAATTTTGATTTGCATCTTCCTGCAGGGTTCTTTTTATCGATGTCTTTATCGATGCTCGTATTTGTGCATCTTTTCTTCTTTGGACTTTCATCCGAAAACGTCGTTATATAGCGACTTGGTTTAGGCACACACATCTCTTCGGCCGTTCCATCTTCTGCCTTTATCTATAAATAAAAATATATATTAATTAGATCATATATGTAGATAATATATGTACATGATATATAATATATTTACTTTATGATATTGTGAAAATCACTATTACATAACGTGAGATTATAAAATAATGTTTTAAATGGTTAACCAATCTATAATATATTTACATAATTTTTTATAGAGACAATTATATATATTGATTAATAACTAATTGATATAATATTTTAAAACATCAAAATTTAATATAAAAAGGATATTAAAACAATTTTTAAAAATGTATATACATATTTATATCCCTGTTACGATTTTCAAAGTACTCTTTTATTACATAATCCTGATTATATTTATAGATACTTACGTTTTTATTGTATTTTGTTGCAATTATTTTGTTTCGGTAACAACAGCAATATTTTTCGGCTTCTCTGAGTATCGTTGACTGAGACTAGAATGAGAATAGGATTCAACATAAAAATAATAAAAATTGTTACCGTCTTTTAATTTTTAAATAGGATACAAAAGAAAAAAAGGAAGAAATTACACATAAGAGGAAAAACGAGAAGGAAGTAATTATAAAACGTGCAACATGTAAGTGAAAAAAAATATAATTAAACTTCTTAAAAAAATAAAATTTGGATATTATAAAAATTATCTTTATTCGCTGTGAATCATAATAGCGATAATATATGTTGATATTTCCATATCGCTGTCATTACCATCAGCCGAGAAAAGCATTCTGTAACATTTTGCATGAACTTCCTCTAAATTAATATACAACTTATCGATACTTAAAGTATCGATAAGTATTACATTTGTAAATTTGGAAAACTGATAGATATGTAGCATACCAATATCATAAAAATTATCGACATTTAAACATTTTTTTACACCTAAGCGATAGATGTTATCAACAATAATATTACAAACAATACAAATTGATCCGTCGCGTAAGATACAACAATTATCATGTAAATTTGTTTTTAGTAATATTCCGTTAAACTGTATATCATACGATATTCGTTAGCATTATGTGTTAGCATTATAGATACGCAAATAGAAGAATTAACGTGATGATCATATCATCCATACATTTGTATTTCTGCCAGTCTATTTGCAAACTGTTGGAGGAGTAAATCTAGCTTTTTGCAATATTTCGAAAAAATAGACATGTTACTTTCGTATAGAAAAGCTGAAAATGAGTCTAAATTACCTAAAAGACGTCTAACATCGTTAGTTAGATGAAAAATTCCATGCACATTATAACTATTAAAAGTTAGATCATATAGATCAATACAACGAAGAACAAATTTTTGTAACGCTAGCTCAGCGAAATTTAAATTGTCTTGATGGACATTTGGAGATTAAGACCTTAATAGCACTATGCAGGAATAAGAAATGCTTGTACAATTCATCGTTCAATAAATCATACATTACGACTGGAACTATATAAAGCAAAAATTGACGAAATTCCGTTGCTTTATACTTTCAGCATAAATCTAGAGATCTAGGGCGATCTGGCAAATTCTGAAGGACAATATTTTCGAAGAATATTTAATCTTGCATTGGCAAGAGAAATACATCGTCCCGACAATTTTGAGGCACGTGAATATTTACTATATACCCAGCAAATAGAAGCTTTTTCATAATTCGCCCAAGCATATAAGATGCATATATTCGAAAGGAACTTGTGATATCATGCTTATTGGAAGTAATGATAATGGGCTTGTACCATCTTTATGATGATCCTCATCTACACATTGAATATATTCGTTATCTGTTCATAAAGAATAATTGATATCATCGAAAATGTAATGATCTTCAACTTGTTTCCCCTCCCCTTTGCATTTAGAACATGATCGAAAGGACATATGACTACGATGATTGAGAATAAATGCTCGTGCTGGTGCATCAGCTATAAAACATTTTAATTTAATTGGAATTTTCTTGCCACGAAAATTTATACGTCCCTTTGATATAATTGTTTTAAGATCTGTAATAAATTTATTAAAAAAAGTATTCGGATTATTTGATTTATGTGCACTTATATTCCTACTACTATTGGTTTCGTATGTTGTACATTGGACACTCTGCATTATATAAGCCATATTTGAACATTATTTGACTTATGTATATTACATCCATCTGTATTAAAATCTAATTCTAACTCTGTAATATTAGATGTAAATAATGGATTTGAAAGACTTTTAATAATTTCTACGTCAAAATGAATATATTCACCTGGCTCTATATTTGACAAAATAATAGGATTTCTTGGTGTATTAATAAGACTTCTATCCTTTGGCAAATTAGAAAAGCAAATATGTGTACGAAGAAGAGATAATATATTATTACTTTGCACATGCATTAAATTATTATCTATAAAACAAGATGTTAAACGGTCGCGAAAAGATAGTTCGGAAAAATAATTAGAATCTAACGATGAAGCACTATTAATTTTAGAAATACATGAAGAGGAAGAACAAGAAGAAGATTCATCATTTTCTATATGTACATCAGATTCAACATTAAAATTATTTGTTAAATCATAAGAATTATATTTAATATTTGACGGGCCAGGAATATCTTGTCTACAACTGTTTCCCGAAATCTTATCAACAATATTACATGAATTTTGTAAACGTGATAAATTTTTCCTAATTTTAAATGAAATTCTATTTCGTTATCTCTTGGATAATTTATAAGTTGCTTTTCTTGAAAAAGATTTTTTTATGATTATTTAGTTCCATAATAATGATGTAAATTATTTGTTATACTTGCGTAATAAAGGATATTTTGCTTGATGTCCAATACATTAAATATTACATCATATGTCTATTTTGTCTAAACTTGAAGGAATTCGATTCACTTTTTTTTTTCCTCCGGTTGGAGGATGTTGGATATTTCCGACTGTGTGCCTTCAACCCTAGGGTTATATGACACAGGTTTATCTAAATCCTTTTTTAACTCTCTCTGTGTCTTATATTAAATAATTCTATTTATCTTTTTGAAAAACTTGTAAATGCTTTTTAATACTACCCAATCTAACTCTCTGATAGCCGCCATTAAATTCACTTCCCTCTCACCCCCATACTCCTCAGCTCCAAGTCCATCCCCTCTCTCCCCTCGTCATACCTCACACACCTCTATATCATATGTTCCAGGCTTTCGCACTCATTTCCGCAATCGCACCTAGCGTCCTCTATATATCCTTTCCTAGCCAGTGACTCATTCAAATTATAATGATTTGACCTGATTCTATTAATCCATACTATAAGATACCTTTCCTCATTAGTATTACTGAACCACGGTTTTCTTCTTTTTCTTTTATAGAAATTCTCAAAATAGAATTTTCCTTTATACTCTGCATCTTTTATAATCTTATTTTGTGTACTATTCCAGAGCTCTCGTTTAAAAATGTTTCTAAAATCACTATACGGGACCTTAATTTCCTCCGCGGGGGGTTCCTGGGAGGCCTCTTTCGCCAATTTATCTGCTATTTCATTACCCGTAATCCCTACGTGCACAGGGACCCATCCTATAATTATCCTATATTTCCTGCTGTTTACAATTTTCCTATATAGAGCTTTGGTTTTTATAATATACATATTTTTATATACCTGGAGTAAATTATTCTCCAGGGCTTGTATGGTCGATAGTGAGTCAGTAAGTATTAAATAGTTTTGACTATCCTCTATTTTTTCTTGATAGATTAATTCTAACATGATTTTAACTGCAAATGCTTCTGCTGTGAAAGATGAGCAGTCTTTTGGTAGGCTTATACTATATGCTGTTTCTTGTTCTTCTGTAACCAGTCCCACTCCTGTAGATTTGCTCGATTTACCTCTGGAGCCGTCCGTGTAGATTACTTTGTTCGCCTCTGATCTTGTTATTTTCTATAATGGCTTCGATCAGCTGTTCATCTGTGTGGAGTTTCTTTTCCATCCTCGCTGTATATTTATCGATCTCTATTTCCTCCGTAATTTCCTTGTAACCCGACTCGAAAATTTCAAATTTTCTTCTTTCTCCCGTATGCTTCTTTAACCATTTTATCCTTGACCAAGCATTTACCAGGCAGCTTTTGTTCGACGTAGGCCTGATATATCGTTCATAGTTTTCATTTGCTTCCAATTGATCTATTCTTAGTCTCGTCTCTTCATCTCCATATATCATAATTTTCAAGAGAAAATTGCTTGCTAGCATTTCTGCCCAATCCTGTAGCAACATAACTTTCAATTCCGCTATAATTACGTTATTCGGTGTACTATTTCTGTAGCCTAATGCTGTCCTAAGTCCTGCATACTGAGTCCTTTCCATTAATAGTCTTTGGTTAGGTTCCCTGGGGAAGTATATAAATAGTCCATAATCTGTGACTGACCTCACAATACTTTTGTAAAGCAGCAACGCCGTGTTAACTTCCATACCTCTTTTCTTTTTATTCAGATACTTCATTAGCCTGTTCGCCTTCTTAATCTTGTTTCTAACCAGATCAATCTGATGGTGAAAATTAATCTTATTGTCAAACCATAACTCAAGGAATCTTGCCCCTGCACTATTCTGTATATCAACCTTTCCTAGTCTTATCTTCACTCTTTTATCTCGTATACCAGACTTATTAAATTCCACCAAAACAGTTTTTCTAGGTTCTAATTCCAATCCTAGCGCCTCCAATCTTTTCGCCAAACATTCCGCCGCATCTTGTATTGCGAAAGTATTTGCCTCTCTATATAAACTTGTGGTATATAAAGCAATATCGTCCGCAAATTGAACTGTGCGTATCCCCCCTCCTAACTCCTCAGTGATTTTCTTCGTGTACAAAGAATAGAGTAAGAGGCTCAACACAGCCCCTGCGGTAGGCCTTTGTGTACCCTTCTTCTCCCCAGCCACAATAAACTGGGTGTATCTGACTCTGCTCCACACGTACACAAATCTTACTATATCTCTGGGGCATCCGATCTCCTCTAATTTCTCGATAAGGATGTTTAAGTCTACATTATCATAGGCCGCAGTTACATCCACGAATAGCGTTGTAGTGTATTCCCCTCTAAAGAATCCATTCTTGATGTCCATAGTGATTTGGGTCAGATTATCTGCACAAGACTTTCCTCTCCTGAATCCGTTTTGATCCCTGGTTATTAAGTTATTCTTCTCTGCCCACCATACCAATCTCTCATTTACCATCCTTTCCATGACTTTACACATGCAGGATGCCAAAGCTATCGGCCTGACTTTTTCCTGCCCTGGTTTATCTATAAAGATCACTTGATATTCCTGCCAGCTTCTTGGTAGCACATTCCCCTTCCATATTCCATTAAGTACCGTCAGCATTTCTTGCTGCATCCTGTTTGATAGTAATTTGATCATGTCATACTCGATACCATCTCTTTCCGGTGATATATTTTTTCTTATCATGCTTAATGCTTTTTTCCATTCCGCTGTTGTGAATCTTTCCTTCCATACTTGTTTCTCCTCCTGTTCCTCTCCAATTTCTATCGGTGGGTTTTCCACAGACGGGAGAGCAAGCTTTTCTATCATTTCCCTTATACATTCCTCTCTGTTCTTACTTTTCTATTTATTCCATTCTATCTTTGCCCTACAATTCTTGAATATCCTCATCATGTTCCATACATAAGCCATACTTATATTCTTGTTTATTGATTTACAGAATAATTCAAAGTCTTGTGACTTTTTTGTTTTGACCACTTTTCTCGCAATAGCTCTGCACCTCTTATATTCGATGTATGCATGCATGGTTCCCTCTCTAATAAACCTCTTCTGTGCTTCCTTTCTATTTCTTATCGCTTCTTCACATTTCCCATCCCACCATTTATCTGAAAGGAATCTGTTTCTTTCTATTTTGTTATTTGTGTATCCTTTCTCCTTGCCTCTTCTCCTTGGGGTGATCTCTTCTATAGCCATTTTCATGCTTTCACATAATAAATTATATCTTACCCGTATGTCCCTGTCGCCTGAACCCAACCTTAACTCTCTCCTTGACTTTTCCCAGATTTCAGTAGCCTTTCTTCCATAATCTTCCCATTTCGTTTTTCTTGATGAAATTCTGTTTGTCTTTTTAATGTAATTTGTGATTTCAAAGTCCATCTCCATTATTATTGGATAGTGGTCCGACCCCCACGAATCCTGCAATTGGTATGTTCTTATATTGTCTAGGTCCTCCGGTGGTCCTAGTATTAAGTCTGAATTGTTAGAGATTTGATCTGCCATTCCCATTCTGGATTTTGTATCTTCGTTATAACATACCAAATCCTTTTCATTCATCACCTCACTCATATTTTCACCATTTCTATCTGTATCTCCACAGTTCCATATAGTATTATGTGCGTTAAAGTCTCCAACATAATATGTTTTATGTGTATTTCCATTGTTAGTGAGTATTTTCCGCCATGTGGATTTATCCAATCTAGTTCCTGGTCTCCTGTATACCACAACTATGTTAATTTTTCCTAAAACATTCTTCACCGTAATACCTATCTTTTCAACTGTCCCGTGGATATCCTCCTGACACTTTAGAATCTCGAACTCTAGTCTGTTGTGTATCACAATGGCTATTCCTCCCTTGCTATCAAGATTATTCGATCGATATGTTTTATATCCTGAAAAGTAAATTGGGACATTTTTTGGCAGTTTAATTTCAGTTATAACCGCGATGTCGTAATCTCTTATTCTCATGGCCAATTCTTCTTTTTTATTTCTAATCCCTCTAATTCCATAATAATATTGTAATTGGGGCCGTTGTGTATATATCAAATAAGATAAAATAAAATAAAGAGGTACTTTTATAAAAGAATTTACTATAGAGATAACAAAAGTTTTCGCAGTGGCCTTTCTTGTAACAAAAAAATAAAAAGCAAACAAAAACAAAACTAAAAATACAAAGAGCTTATGTATTGCACCCGAGCTTATATTATCCTATTGAGGTAAATGCCTTACAACTATTTATAAGAGTATGTATCCTTTCTTATAGCTAAAGCTTAAATCAATTTTACTGTTACGAAGTTAACCTATTACAATATAATATAACCCGACTTAGATATTCCTGCTTCAATTCTTATAAGTTACCTGTAATACTACTAATACTGAGAAACATAAAAATCTTGAACTATCAACTTTTCTTCTTGTCAATCTTGATATTTAATATTAACTTAACGTTAACTATTACAATTTATGCATAACCAAAATCTTGCTAAACTTATATCGAACTATCAAAAAAACGATAATCAAATCTTAATCTAAGACTTGGGTTTTATGTAAAAAATTTTAACATAAGTACTATAATGTATCTATTATACCTGAATTAATTCGTTCCTTGTCTCTGTATCTTGAAACCTTCTATAGAAAAATATGTTCCCTTACCTTATATCTCCTGCTACTTTCTACTCTTTGTACTATTCTAACTTAAACTATCCAAGTACTTTCCTTGTCGTTTCTAATATTATATCTGTTGTGCTTATAATATCAATCTATTCGTTGCTCTTCCAAAAATTCTGTCTCATATTCTTTACTATTCTATTCTCTCTATATTTTCTTTCTTCCCTGTATATCCTATTTCTATCCTGCTGGATACCCTTCTGATGTTGTTCCTTGTCTTGCTCACTGCTCATCTGATCTCCATCATAACCTTCCTCTCATCTGGTCTCATCCAGAGCCTGATCCAAAAGGGATTTCAAATCCCAGTCCCTGTCCACTGCAGCCAACAGTCTTGATATAAATTCCTTTCTTCTTTCTTTTTCTGTAATCAATGCCTTCCCTATTGAATATCCTTCCTGGCCTTTGTCGGCTAAATTTCCTTCCTTGTCATGTACTAGCGCGATTCCTCTCTTTTCCTTAGTAATTTCTCCTTCCCTTGTGTTGAATTGTGCGTAGTAGTTAGTTCTCATTCTAGGCGCCTCTATTTTCCTTCTTCCATCCTCTCTCTTCCTTTCCTGCCTTATAAACCCTAAGTTGTCAGGGGAAAGATATGGCAGGTCATCGCTACTTGTGTCATCAGCATTCCTTGCTTTTTCTTCCTTTCCTTTTCCTTTTCTACTATTTGCTTTGCTAATCACTTCGTCTCTATATGAAGATTTCTGCCTCTGACTCGTCTTCTGTCCTGGTTTACTAAGGAGCGGCCAATTATTCGATTTTTCGTATCTGTCGTAGACTTCCGTAGGACCTTCATCACTGTCCTCTAGAATTTCGATCACTTCTCTATATGAAGTATTATTAATATAAGATATAAGCCATCACTTTCTTGATCCTCTGATTTCTCTCGTACACGTCACACCTCCTATCTGTGGATTTGTGACTCTCACCGCAGTTGCGACACTTCGTTGGTTTATCTCAGTGGCCATGCGCTCTTTCACCACAATTGATACAGCATTCCTCACTCTTACAATGAACTTTTCTATGGCCATACCTAAAGCACTTGTAACACTGCATCACAGGGGCCACGTTTGATCTTACTCTTAATACAGCTAAGTCATTGAAAAAAACTTATCTTATCTCTGGGCTGGTTTCCTTTAAATGTAATTATCACAGAGTCGACCGGCTCAAATTCTACCTTATTTTCTTCCTTGTTCCATTTCCTTTTCTTCTCACCATTCTTTCAATTTTTAAAACATCCTCGGGTTTGGTGAGCAAACTATAGAAGTCTATGATTGAATCTAGATATAGCGGAACAACGCCTCTGAAGCACGTGTCCCGGTCTTCTATTCCCGCGCTGTATCCATCTTTTCCTTTATCCTCGTTGATTTTCTTAATTGCACTGTTAGCGTCTATTGGATTTAAAAAATATAATGTCTTAAACCCGTTCATCATTATGCGTTTAGGATAAATTCTTTTATCTTTTAACCTATATAAAATCTTAAAATAATTGCTGCCTTTTTTGGCAGTACCTGCTCTTTCCGTCATCCTGAGTGTAACCTTGTAGTTGCTTCCGAAATTTTCGTCAAATTCCAACCTTCTACTAACCTTGGACACGTCGATCTCACTGATGTGTTTGAGGATACCATCCTCCCTCACATATGCCTCTCTTTTCCTTATCTCGTTTCTCTTTGCCATGATATCCGCCGTATCTGTTGCACTGTATCGCTATTTACTAACTGCGCGCCTTTATCGCAACTCGCCGGTACTGGCGTGTCTCCTTCCCCCTCAACTTCCATTTCCTCTTCCGATTGGTCCTCTCCTGTTTCACGTGACTTCTGACCAATAGTATTGCAAGTCTTTCCCGCGCTCTTCTCTACCTTTGAATTTTGTTTCCTTGCCTTCTTCTTCTTCCTCTCTACCATTTTCCAGTCTTCACTCTCATTCTCTGTGTTCGTTGTATCTAGCATCAGTTGATCCAGCGTATCTTCCGTCGCCGGTCTTTTTCCTTTATTGCTATCTTCGTTCATTTCTACATTTAGTCTTGCCACCAGTCTCCTTATTGTCTTCTTCAGCGTCTCATTCTCTCTTAACGTAAGACTTATACTTTCTCTTCTCTCCTCTTGCCCCCCCTCTCCCTGGGGCTCTTCGTTATCCTTTAAATTATCTATGCTGCCTTAGTATTGCACCTATTCTTTACTAAATCTTAAATATTGCACACCTAGCTAATCCTATTGAGCTCTAAAAAGAGCTGATTTAACTAAACCGAGAGTTTCTAACACTAAAAATCGCCAGACACCACTCGCACATGTCCAAATTCGATTCACTACACTACACCAGGTTATTGCACACTAAACACTGGCTGGATTCCGTAAAGCGCATATGCGTGCCCTTTGTTATAGTATACGTGACATGAACTATAGATAAATGCGCATATGCGCTTTACGAAATCCAGCCACTGGATGCGATCTACTTGGGAAATGCGTTCGGAAATAACATCCGAGTGCAACCGAGTATCATTTTATCCTTGTTTTTTGTCGAATGTTCCACAAACAAGGATAAAATAATACCCGAGTGAACTCGGATGTTATTTCCAAATGCATCCTTGATGCTACAAATGCTTCGAAGTATTTCTTGATTCATAAATTGCCAATTCATAAAATTCTTTGTTCTAATTGATTAATCAAACTTTGAAGTATTTGTAGCAGCAAGTGAATCGCACTTGCATCATACATGAAATTATTTAAATTTAAAATAAATAAATACTTCAAAACAATTATATAAATAGTCAACAATGAATTTTTCGTATTATTTAGTTATGAATATGAATTAATAATTTCATTATAAAAGAAGTAATATTATGCTACTACATTTGGATATTTCATATGTAGCAATCCTTAATGTGCATTAATCCAGTGTAGTGCAGCGAATTGAATTCGTTAAAAAACAGATGATTTAACTATCAATTAAAGCCACACAATGCTTTTTTTTCTGCTGGTTTACTAGCTAGATTCGCGTGTTTGCTGAGCTTCAATTGGTATATTCTTTTAGATCTAAAAGAATATACTAATCAAAGACAAGAGTTCAGCAAGCACGCAATTTAGCTAGCAAACCAGCAGAAAAAAAAGCATCGTGTGCTGCTGGCTTTAGGTTAGATCTTCATGCAGACACCGGAACTTTGACACAGAGTATTAATTGCTGAAAAATGAGTGAGAGTAAATAGTAAGTACTATTTACTCCCATCACTCATTTTTCAGCAATAGTACTTACTATTTACTCCCACCACTTATTTTTCATACTTTATGTCAAAGCGCCAGTGTCTGCATGAGATTCCAGCCTTAGCTTACTAAGAAGTTGGAATAACGTTCTCCCTTCCTTTTGCTTCCTTCCCTACTTCCTTTAATTTTTCCTTCCATCTTGTTAACAAATCTTTGCCGAACAATAACAGTTACAAAATTCATCTCAATCCAGACACATTTGTCAACATCAACATCACTCACAATTCCTTGTTCACTCTGAATGATAAGTGGTTCCTCAACTTGTCACCTATCCCGACAGACGTTCAAGGCTTATTACAATTAGGTGAAAATTTTGCTTTACCTACCACAGACATTAAGAAAATGATAATTAAAACTATAAAAAATGTTAAGAAAAATATCGCTAAATGCCCACAGAATTTTCAATTACAGTTATGGAATACATATACCACTAAGATTATTATTAAGATAGATTATACCACTAATTAATAATATATCTTCCTTTATCTCTTCAAATAATAGCATTAATGAAAGACTATCATTATTATATAAAAACACTTCTTCTTTCATTATACAACATCCAGATATAATTTTCACTTGGGTCGATAAAGACAATGTGACTATTGCACTGGACAGGGACTTGTATATTTCCAAAGTTATGACTTATTAAAGGATACAGACATATCAAAATGAATAAAGATCCTACTAAAATCGTTACTAAAAAATTGTATGATCTCCTCAAGACGTGGCAAAAATCGAAATTTATATCGGAGTCTGGGTACTACAAGATGATGGTTAGCGATCTAGGAACTTCACCTAGGGCTTACAGCTTTACCGAAAATACATAAACAAAGTTGCCCATTCAGATTGATCGTTTCCTGTATTGACAGTCCGCTATATGTTTTGGCATCATCTCTTAATAAACTCATTATGAAGAGCATTCCAAAATCTAATATTGGCATTAATAATAGCTTTCAACTCATTCAAAAATTATCGGATGTACAGATGATAACTTCTCATTGATTTCATTGTTAAATCTTTGTTCACAAATGTCAATTTGATTTGGGAATAGACAGCATTTTCCAAATCGATGGGGTGAATTATATAGCGCCGAATTATAACATCCCTAAGGAAAAATTTCTTAAAGCGGTTTCTTTGGTTCTGCATTCCACATATTTCAAATTTGATAATCAGATTTACAAGCAAACTTTCGGCTTACATGGATTCTCCGTTGTCCGATTATAGCGGATTTGGTGATGAGAGATCTCGAGGAAAGATTGAGAGCATAGATATTGACTTACCTTTTTACTATAGCTATGTGGATGATATAGCTTTGGCCGTCCCCCATGGTAAAATCAAAAATATTCTTGAGACATTCAATTCTTTCCACCCGTGTTTACAATTTACTTGTGAGATTGGCGGGAGAGAGTTGAGTTTCTTGGAGATTACCATGAAAGTTGTAAATGGAGTTATGCACTTCGATTGGTATTATAAACCGACCTTTTCTGGGAGATATTTAAATTATCTATCACAACATCCTTTATCCCAGAAGAGAGGTATAGTTTATGGTTTGGTAGATAAAGACTTCTCCTTGTCGCACCCTCAATATTACCAAAAAAACTTTGAATCTGTAGTTTCCATATTACTGAGTAATGATTATCCTCTCAATTTTATATTTAACTGCATAGCTCGAAGATTAAAAACTCTATTGTTTAGGAACGATGATACATTAAACATTGATAAAGAATCTAAGGACAATGACAAGAAAATTAAATGGTTCACGTTGCCATTCAACTCAACCATTGTAGGGAGAATCCAAACCATTATTAATAATCAAGATACTAAATTGTCCTTCTTTAGCCTGAATAAATTGAGAGGATAATTCGAACTCAGAAAGATAAGAACCCCGTGGAAACATGTAAAAATATTGTATATAAGATTGAATGCGACAATTGCGAAAAATGTTATGTGGGACAGATCAAGAAACAATTGAAGACTAACTTGAGCGAATATCGTAGTCACATTCGCAGAAATACAAACAAAAATCCATTATTACAGATCATAGATTGTGCTCCAATCACGATTTTTCTTGGGATAGAATAAAAATACTGGCTACGAAACGTGACTGCGAAAAACGCTTGATTTCGGAAATGCTGTTCATCAAATTATAAAAAACACATTAAATCTTCAAATAGATACAGAATGCCTTCATCATTCGTACGTCTCTGTTCTCGACAAATTGTAATTTTTATTGACCTTGTTATGTTGTTTGTTTTTAATTATTGTTCCGATCAAATAACTTCCATTTTGTTTACCACTTATATACACTGTCGGATTGTCTTTTGATTAGCACACTTGATTATAAGCGTTCTCTTAAATCTTTTATAATTTTAATTTTATATTCTTGTAATTTTATTCGACGATACGTTATTCACATTTCAACATTATGTATGGCTTACATAATGTACTCTTCAGTAGTAAGTGTCACAATTTTTAAATCAGTTTAATTCTATCGGGAGAATTTCAATGATATTGTGTGTGGCTTCATTAGGGATATGAATATATTTCCCTCACATATCAATCGGCGCGGGCGACACCATTTACCTTATCACATTAGAGTGCAGTCTTGACTATTTGTTTTTACTGAAGATGGCTCAAATTTGAACCGAAACATTTGAAGATTTTTTGAATAAAAAAATATATTAGTTTTTCATATTTACTACAAAAATAGACTCATTAAAAATTTGTTCTAATTGTATCTAAAAATATATAATTATATCTAATTATACATATATATATATATATATATATATATACCCCAAGTAGCAAGATGATGTTATTATGATTTAAAATCATTTTTCGTTATTCGTCAGTGTACTAAATAATGACGTAAAATAAACGTAACATTTGTCACGAAATATTATCGTCATAAATATATCATCATTTATCGTTATTTTTAAGTAATTTTTAATGAATAAATAATAAAATAACATTATTAATTACTATCTTTCTTAATTAATTATAATATAATAATATTATAACTAAATAAGAAAAATATTTTTCATATTTAATACAATTATTAATAAATTCATAACCAAATAAATAAAATATTCACGTCCGCGACAGTCACAAACATCGCGCGCTCTTTTCGCGTCGCCACTCACTGATACAATCCGGAGGAAAACTGCGCTCGAAATTAATAATATTCCTTTACAAAATAAACCGTGAGTTGCAAATATCAAAACTTTATTAAAACGAAATAGAACAATCAGAACAATTTAAACACTACGGACGCACGTCTGTTCATTTCGTATAATCGCATAAAACAATTACAATTAATTAATGTACAGAACCATTAATTTAATTTAATCAGTATTGATAAAAAAGTAAGTTATAAGGACATAAATAAAAAATATTAAAATTTTTATTCGAATTTAGAAAACTGTCTATTCACTAACAACATTATTAAAAAAAGTTTTAATGCGATACCCAGGCTCGCCAAGTTTTTGTCTGTTTGATTTTAAATCGTTCTATATTTAAAATATATCACTCTATTTAAAATATATAGCAGAATGTGTAGAGAATAATGTCGGCAGAACGTGATGCGCGTGGCGCGAGAACTTAGAAGACACAAAGGATACAGAGTCAATGAAGAATTTAAATAAGCGAGTCGAAGAAGACACTCAGCAAAAATACACACAGGCTCAGGGAGCGAAACACACATACACACAACAACGGCGCAACACCCGACGAATCGAGGGAAAAAAAAGAAGGAAGAGCGCCACTATCGAACACAAGTCGCAAGGTCACCACAAAAACCGTCTGTTCCGCTCCACACACACACTTCCCCTCGAATTGTGTTCGGATCCCGCCCGAGAACTCACGGGTTGCAATTCGGATTTCCTAAGATAGTCTGCGTGTTTCTTCTTCTGGAGTCCTCAAGAAGTCGGCGATCATGTCAGATATGTGACGATCTTTTCGCTGCAAAGCACTTCACGCACGTAGTGATATTTGATGTCGATGTACTTACTCCGCTGATGGAAGACAGAGTTCTCGGCCAGTTTGATGGCACCCTAATTG